TATATATATATATATATATATATATATATATATATATATATATATATACATACATACACAAAGTTGTGCTTGAATTTTTACACACCCTCCCTTTACAGAAAGTGATAAATTCACACCACTAATTCCAATAAAAGAAAAAAAAAAAACACAATGCCGTCATAATGAATAACATTTGCTAAAGGTTAATTTTGAGTAAAACACTCTATCAAGGCTTTGTCCTACTAGGACCGCAGTAACCTACTGTATCTGTGGTGGATCATGAAACGGAAAGGTGAAATAACTAAATGAATAACACCTGATGTCTTACAACTTCCAACTGCCATACACGTGGGCATTGTCAGTTTAACTATATCCCTCGCAAATTTCAGTAGTGAAGTCCTCTCAAAATCTTAAATAATAGTTTATTGCAGGGGTGTCTATTAGTTCTCACTGGCTTTGCATGTAAAGCAGTGAGAATGGCGCTCAGCTTAACACACTAAAAGAGGTCAGGAGTGTCAGTTACTGCTCAGTGATCGCGACGAAAATTGTTTTTATTCTTTTTATCACTACGAATGTATTAGTTTTAGGTATAAATAATGACCCATTGGTTATTCCTTGCTGACAGGACTTTTCCTTTAATGATATGTGCTAATACAACACTATACATTCAGAGAACAGAGGCAGGAAGTAATACAAAAATAAACTTGCCTTGCCTTACAGAATACAATCCCCCTTTTTTGTTAAATCTTTAAAAAACACATAAAGCTATGGACTGCATTTCCCAATCACCCAAATCATTACAAAACACATTTTAGTTAAAATTAGATATATATTTTTTTATTTCTGCATTGTTGACTGAACTGCCCACACTGTTAGGATTTCTGATTTATCTTGTACTGTTCAGAAAACTATTCTGAAAAAAAAAAAATAATCCAAACATTCTTGGCATCTTAATCATAATCATTTACTTTAACATATTTTTTTCTAGTCCTACCCTGCTAAGATTAAATAACTGATGTGTTGTTTTTCTCAGTGTAATAAAGGGATAAATGTCAAGCAAACTCAAAATGACTCAAATCATTTTAAAATAGCTAAAGTAGTTTTAGTTATTTGGTCATTTCAAATTCATGAACTCTTTCAATTCCTCCCATTTTTTTTTCATTATTATTTTTACAGGGGAGGTATATAATATTTAGTTACAGCAGGGTTTAAGAATAAATAAAACCTGCCAGAATTCATAAAGATATATATATTTTTTTATATATTGTGTCTTGTAATTGTAGATAACATATAAAGAGATATTTAATTTTGCATGAACTCTTTCAATTCCTTCCATTTTTTTTTTCATTATTATTTTTACAGGGGAGTTATATAATATGTAGGTACAGCAGGGTTTAAGAATAAATGAAACCTGCCAAAATTTCATAAAGATATATTATTTATTTATTTATTTATTTATTTTTATGTATTGTGTCTTGTAATTGTAAATAAAATATAATGAGATATTTAATTTTGCACCTTTTTTTTTTTTTTTTTTTTGCTTTGTGGCCGCTTTGGATTTCCATACCTGTGAAAGACGTCGATGACAGCGGGATATAGCTGTGTGCGCGTAACACCTAACAGGTATTTTTCACAGGAACAGTTGGTCTTCTAGGATTTTTCCTCCTGCACGAAATACCTATCTGGACGGAGGAAATGGAGAAAAAGAAGACGATAGCCTTGAGAAAGAGGCATATTGGGTAAAACATTTCAGTCTATGATTGCAGATCGTTCCGGGGAGCTATTTCTGTTGCAAAATCTATTCATAGTCCTTATCTGAGCGTATGCAGGGTAGAAAAAAATATTTTTATTACTTTAACTTCATTATATTAGTGAAATAGAATTTATACTGATAATCTACCACCATATCTTAAGAAAGGCTCCTAGGGGACTGACTATAATTGTTTCAATACTTTTTTTTTTTTTTTTTTTTTTTTTT